CGCTGATTCGACCGCAGGCCAACAAGATTGGCCGATTTTCTTCCCAGTTTGTCTGTCCAGCGGCACAAACCCTGCTATGACTCTGCCATTCAGAGGGTCATTTGAATCCAACAAGCAGTCTTGCAGCTTGCTTAGCGGGCATGTGCAATTGCCAGACACGACTTTGCCCCTTTGCCATTTAAAGTTCTCACGTACGTTTTCAATCAAGCTTTTTTATTTTCCCATTGGCCAAGCTGGATTTTCAGGTTCTTTCCAAACGACCGTGTCAAATGCTTGACCCTGGGCTCAGGTTAACAAGGAGGGATGGGAGAAGGCTCAGCCGCGCCCTTGAGGGGTCGACTTGAGGACTCAAGGAGAGCTTTTGGCTTCAATAGGAAGCTTACCAGGAAATGGGGGTGGGAGTGCTCACTTTTGGACCAGGTGTCCTTACGTTTCGCTGTTAAATCCATTTCAAGCATCACCTTTTGGTTGCCTGGTCTTTCAGTTGGTTGGGAGGAATGTTGATGGGGAAACAAAAGGCCCCCTCGCGGCTTCTCTTAGAGTTGGAGATATCAATGTGAACGCAACATTGGTTTAAAGCCCAAGCGAGCCTCCCAAATGGCACAGTCCCTAGCTCGTTTTGACATTTACGCTAGCTGTGCCCAGTACCTAATTGCATCGTCAAGGACCATTAGCTCAATTGTGATGGCAGCTCGAATCGGTCAGTTCGTCCCTTGACAAGTGTCCGAATGGATAAAACAAAGGAAACCAAGTGTCTGCACGAGCCAAGTCATGGTGAGAGCGACAATGACACGTGATGCTGCGCCGATCCACAGATATCGTCCGCAACAGTGACAGGCCAGTTCTGTGTGGCTGTTTCCTAAGCTTGGACATCTGCCTTTCATTTTGTTGCTCAAGGGGAAACAGGTAAGCGGCCATGTGAAGGGGTTGGCCTGCCGAGGAAGGGGGTCCAAAAGGGTTTCTGGTTCTCACCACCTGCTTTTCAATCTTTGCCTAAGCTGAGCAGGTGTAGGTCGCGGCAGGTGCAAGTTATTGTCTTGACCGCGAAGAATTCATCAACTTTAACTCAATTGGACGCCAGATTCATGCAACCAGCTTTCCAGCCTTGGCAGTTTTTGGTTGGGCTGTTCATGGGAAACATTGAGAGATTATCCTGAGGCGTTGGCAAGGAGGAGCTTCAAACTTGTGACTGCCCAGCCGAATCTTAGAACCAACACACATGGTCGGCAGGCCGCCAGACTTTTGCGACTCACATGAATGGTTGACCAAATGGCGACCCTTACTAGATCCCCTTTCGAGATGCGTCGCGCCAAGTTGTTGGCCCCCAAGAAGGCTTTGATTTTTAACAGCATGCACCAGGTGGATTCGCGACAAAAAGACACACGCCCCCGACATTCCGAGGTTCCCCATCCTGTGCGAGACCTGCTTGGGTGACAACCCCTATGCCGCGGCCTTCGTTTTGGAGCTGACGTCAACTTGACTAGCGGATTGCGCTGAACTGGGGAGCCTGCCTCCCTTGGATGGTTTCAAGGGCTTGCGACTGTCTCTCCCAAGCTAACGTGCTTCTTTGATCTGTATAATGAAGCACTGTCATCCCAGATATGGTGCGGCCAGGTGTCAAAACCAGGAACTTGTTTGGGGCAGCTGTGTTTATTCTTTGCGCAGCTCAGGCCCGGTCAGGCATGTCTAAGGCCAATGCCAACTCTCCCCGTCTCTCCCATGCTCAGTGGCAACGCCACTTGGGAGATTCCAACCATCCGTTCGAACCTACTGGCCCCGTGGATTCTGTGCTTCGGAGGTCCGCATGCAGAAGGAGGACTACGGGGTGGAGTGCAAGATTTGCGCCGGGGGCTTCGGACGTGAAGGCAGACCTACATATATATATATATATATACATCAAATCATAGATCTATGTATGATTTGATATCTACATATATATATATATGTATGTATGCATCTACAAGTGACATGTTTCGGTCCCAGAAAGGGTGAAGTTCATTTTTGACCCACTTGCCCATGCAACAATCACGCACGCGTTCGAGGCAGTACGTTGGACCCAAAAACGGTCGAACCTATTTTGTCAACCTTTCAGGTGCACTTTGCATTTTTCTATGGCGGCTTACAGGCTGTACTGATTTGTTTGTGGGGACGAGCGCTTGTCAGGTCCAAACTCGGCATAGGGCATGAATACCTTGTTGAACCTTTGAATCGCGCGAAAATACGGGAGTATACGGGGACGCCCTGAAAGCTTGTTTCTCTTAGAGGGTTCGTTTGTCCCCTCAAGAGCTGGTTCCTGGCATGTCCTGATGTGCCAATGGCCTCCGCTAGGTCCGCCCCTTCACCATCTTTCGCTGGAAAGCGGGTACCCAGGGAAGATACAAGGCTGGGTTGCTGGTCTGGTACTTGGCGGTTGGCGACTGGGCATTTTGAAGGATCAACTTTTGCCGGGGTCGCTGGAAGGTAGCATGAACTTGGGGGTTCCCTCGCTATACCCGAAAAAGCATCCTTCATTTTGTGTCATACGTGGCCTCGTGTCGCGTGTTGATGGCCTGAACTGGAACCCCGGCCCCGCATTTAGGCAAAGCCAACCCGCGATGAACCGACTCTAAACCAAGCCAAGACTCCTAAACCAACCCAAAGCAACGCCAACCCTGTACCCACAATCACCACAGTTACGAGACCACACACACACGACCATGGTTTGGGGGTACTTGTCTGACCCATGGCCACCGGTTGGGGGCTGGCAACTCTGTCCCTTTATACTCCCTAGCCCTTTTGCACTGACGCTTAGGCGTACGACCCTGAGACCTTGAAGAAACGGAGGGTTGCCGACAATACAGAGTCATTCAGCTGCACAAATGAACTATCACGAGCATTCCGAATTGGTGCGTCGCAATTGCAGTGTGGGTTGATTGAGCCCCTTGCAGGCAACATAGCAGGCTCCCACGGATCATGGCCCGCTGCGTGCCCGTATTTCTGGAAACAATTCCAAACAGACAAAGTTGAGCCGGCCAAAAGGCTCCCGAGATCTTCGCTTGCCTGTGGCGGAAGCAGTTGGGGCTTCCCGCCGGGCACGGGCCATTTCTTTAGCGCAGCTGTGGCCATCGGCCAGCGGGGCATACCTTGGGTGTCTCAATCGGAAAATGTGGGACCCCCATGTTGCTTGGTCTTCAAAGGGGGTCCGCTATTTCAGGAACCGTCCACATAATTCTGAGGTTTACAGGGAACTGGTGTGTGGTTCATGTTAAAATGCGGCATGTGAATTCCACTTGTCAGCATTAATGTTGCATAATTCTGTTTGGGGAACCTGTACCTGCACCTGGCAGGCGACGGTCGTGTGCCGAGCACTCAGGAATTCTGCCGTGGTGTGGATTGTCCCTCTCCAGGGAAGTCGACACAACTTAGGTTGTCTCAAACGAGAAGCAGACATGAGTTTCGCTTGCATGGGGGTTTGGTTCAATGCCCTTGGCATGCACAAGGTGGAGATTTGTATCTTCCGGAGCTGTTTGGAACTTTCCTTGTTCATAGGGATCGAAGCCAGAGAGGATGCCACCTAGCAGATGGCCTGTATGTATTAGTGTTGTTGCTTCCAGCGCTTTCCTCAGCTTGTTTGCTATGCAGAGCCAGCTGTCTGTTGGAGGCTTTGGTCATTGGATAGATGGTATCCAGCATCACTTTGCTGGCAATGTTGAGCCCCGATTGAATCAACCTGGCAGTATACCTTGCCCACCAAAAGGATACACCCTTATTTTCATAAGCTGCATTTCCACCAACCCGAGCAAGTGCGTCTGCTAACATCACAATGGAAACATCAGACAGGCGACCTGGATGCTCCAGTGCATATTTTCTACAATGCCTGAATATGGCGGGTACCATCCAAAAAGGACATCCGTTCCCACTTGTTTTGCAAACACATTTCATGCGCTGAATGATGCAACCTGGAAAGTTGGGGGCCTTTGAACAAATCCATCCAAAAAAGGAAGCACCGACCAAACTTAAGAATGGCTGCTTGGGATTGGCCCCAACTTCGTAACGGCGAGCGCAGCATGGCAATCGTAATACAGATCACTTGTTGAGCGCGATGACCGTTTGTATGTCCCGGAGAAGAGACAAAACAGGAATGAGATGCGGCTCATATCAAGTCAATTCATAGCCATGTGGAAGGTCGAAGCACAGGAGTTGCTTCTCCCGCCGTAGGCGCGCATAGGAGTAATTTCCAGCACCAGCCCATATGATTGGGCGTCTATCCAGGCAGGCCCGCGCAACATTCGAAGAGGTACTGTGGAGAGCCCCCTTTTCGTGGAAGTCATCAATTCTCGGGGTATTTCTCAGCGGGGTCTGAAGTTGACATTTGTTGACCGGTACTCTCAACAAAGGATGCCCTTTTTTTGCTGGCTGATTTCAACGGACACTCCGAAGGGGTATCTCAGAGAGAGCAGGTTGCGACTGGAAGTAGATTGCGATCAGGTCAAAGCTGCGCGAAGGTCAAGAACGTGTGTCAGCAGTTTCCTCAGAGGGCAAGGTTGCGCAAGCCGGGAGTTTCATGTTGCCCTTGGAAACTATTTGGAAGATTCGTATAAATCACAGTTCCTTACATGAAACCAATGTTGGGTAGTAAGGGGTGATTTCTGCATTCCCCACCAAGAGCAAGCAAGTTTTTCTGACTGTGGGGTTTGAAAAGCAGGTATGTGCAGGAGCTCTCAATCTGACCCTCCTTGAAAGGAGCGACTGAGCTGTGAAGCCTGTGGTTAAGCCTGAACGAGTCCAGTCATATCTATGGAGATGACTTGTTCTTCCGAGCATTGGCTACGCATCAGTTGCTGACACTTTGTTGAAGTTGGATAAAGATTCGCTTTGCTAAGCACTAGCAGCATTGGCAGGAACTACTGTTGCATTCGGGCATCATCAATGTGTCATTTTGTGCAGGAGTCGCATTTGTTTTTATATGTGGGGAGATGTTTTCAGCAAAGATCTCGAGCAATCTTCAGGTCTCTCAAGACTAGGCTTGGTGCCGGGAATTTGCGATGGGTGCCCTGGAATTGGGCTCTTGGCAACCTTTCCTTTCAGGCGCCTGAAATCAACACCCGAAAGTTCTGATTTCCACGCCGCCAACCCAAACTGCTGATTGGGGGTGCATTCCTCAAATTAGGGGGCCCTTGACAAATGGTTGTTTTGTCATTGAAATCAGCTGAAACAGGGCCGAGTTTGGGAAACAAAACCAGACACCCAAAGCGAGTAGATGGCGAAGGCTGTGGAACCACAGCCCACAGTACATGGTTTGCGAATCCATTTAGGCGTTTTCCTGAAAGGATTGGCATTCTGTTTCATGGTGGTGCTGATTTGAACGGGGGGACGTGTTGCCTGACCCCCCGATTTCAGCACAACGTCACCACATCCCCGTCGCCCAATCAGTGCTTTTGGGCTCGGTGCCGTGGAATCCCTCATTGAAGGCCAAGGCTGCATACCCAGCAGGGGAGGCGCATGAATTGTGGTTGGAACCATTGCTTGGAGGACTCCGTTGACACGCGTGACACCTGGAGGCAGAGAATTCTCGCCGATTTTGAATAAGACAAAGGGCCAGATGCTTTCCATTTCGAAGGGGTCCCTGAATTTCCAGTTTCCTAAGCCCTGCAAGTGGCATTTTCGTTGGAACCCGTCTGAGGATTGCACCTCAAGCGCTGCATGTCCGCTTCTTTTATCGACCAAACGGACTTCTTTGGGGGCAAATCTGGGCAACTTCCCATGTCCTCAACAATACAATCACCGGCGCCCATGTTCAAGCACGAGTAGTGGGAAAAATCAGGGCCTCAGGTGCTATGTGGTATTTGCTTGGCGGTGTGCTGTGGCAAAGACCTCCCTGGTTCACTTTGTCTTTTGGTTCTCTTCTGGTCGGCGGCCCGCCCAATTCATCATACCTGTAAGTGGGGACTGAAGTGGTCTACCGGGTTTCCAGGAGCCATGTGTAAAGGCTTGTACCAGTTTGGTTTTTTGCATATGCAGAGAGGGACCGCTTCCCACAGACCCCAAAGAAAACCGCAGGTTGAGACCTCTCGGTCGCATAAGGACCTGCCTGTTCGACCTGGAGTATGGGCTGCCAGTACAGGTCCGGGACAAGTACCTGGAGGTGGGCCCCTGCACGGTTTCAGGGGGGGTCGAACCATCATGTGAAGCTCAGTGAGATGCCAGGAGGCAATGATCAACTTGGAAGGAACTCACTAATTACGTGTTTGCAAGCGTGCTCAGTCTTTCATTTCACGGGAAAAAGGTTATGTCCATCGCGGGTAACACCTTTGCTTGACCTTGGCTTATGCAAGCAAATGAGGCCGTTTTATACACTTACCCCAAGCTTTTCACACCCATACCGTCATGTGTTTATGTGTGTCTGTGTGCGTGGTCAAAACAAAGAGTGATTTCACAATTACTGGGCACCTGATGACATTGGATGTTTGTGCCTCTTTCAGTTATTGTTTTCGGATGGTCCATGCATGCATCTTCTCATACAATGTTTACAGCAGCATGTTGTGTTATACCGTTATACCGAAATGAAACGCCATGCGCCAAAGAAAAACAGCAGAAGGTAGTGTACGGCTTGTAGGGGATGGACATTGACCCCTTTGCAACAGGGTTGTTGCATAACGATTTTCAGGATTCCGTTTGACCTGTCCTTCCAGATCTTATCAGCTGCTCATGTATCATTTGCGGTTGACCATCCAAAAGAATGCCTGCAGCTGTTGAACTTTTCGGAATCGGCTTATTGCTTGCTTCCACCGATTTGCTTCGCCTACTTTGTCGGTGCACTTTTACGGCAGAACGCCAGCCGTCGTGGCCTAGATCGGGTGTGCCTTGCCGGGCTCGTATGTATGTTGATCACGGTGGGGGGGGGAGAGACTCCTCACTTACAAGGGAAACTCCGCAAGACATCAACTAATGTTGTTGAACTTGAGCGCAGCGATTCGAGGGTCATGTGCATACTGTGTGTGCAAGACTTGCCGGATGGGTTGATTTTGCATTGACAATGGTTAGGTGATCTATGTGTCTCATTTCGTCATTGATCCCTCTTACTGCTCCTCCAAGCTCTCCGCTTCTTGCACAACGGTGCATTGGGCCTTTCCCACATTCCATGACCCATGAGACCCGTTCCTTCTCCAAGCTCACAAACATCGAGAGTGGCGGACGCCGACCGCACCATTGCCCCGGCCAGGAGCTGGGCGCGAACAAGGTGGCGCTGCCACACTCGCGGGTGGGCCGGGGAGCTTAAGCCGCTGGACCCGGAGCTGCCGTTGGAGGGCTTTGGAGCGGAGCGGTTGAAAACTAGCGTGTTAGACGAGCCACGAACCGGGACCTTTTCTGTACGTGGTTTGGGGAGGTGGGCCTTGCTTGAACTACTCGGATCGGCCTTGGGTGTTGAGGTTTTCCATCCAGGGTCATCATGAGCATAAGGACTTGACGTGAGTGGTGTTAGGCAAGTTATCGGAAATTCCAGACGGGTTCACATTTCGGTCATGTGGAGACCAAGAGGGCTTTAGACCACAGCGTGCAGCCTTGGCCAGCGATTGATCTGGTAGGCTGCATGTGCTTCGACTTAACACCGTGTCCTCAGGTTGGCCTCATCACTTGGCCTGAGTGGAATGTAAGCTTGCGCTGGCATGATTGATGTTTTCTTGAGATTGGCCAGTGGCTTCCCTGGCTTCCATTTGGCAACCAACCAAAATCCGCATAGTCTGCGAGGGCTGGTGGGGGGCGTTCAGGTAGGGATTACCAGCTCCAGAACGCCCAAGCGGACAAGGATGGCGAGGACGCGCTGCAGAATTTGGGCAAACGGAAGAGCACCCCTAGAGGCACTTCTTGCCTTGCAGACCCCCCAACAAGCCGTGGCTCTTCTTTGGTGCCGTCTGAAAACCTGGTCAGCAACGGGTAGGTTGAGAAGCACGTCGGTAGATCGTAAGACTCCAATGAAGAGAGATCTCCAAGCTCAGCTCACATGGTTTGCAAGCCCTCTTCACTAGCCCTGTGCACTCTGCAGAAGCGATTGGACATGATTCAGCCATTTTGCCGTGAGCTGCCTTTAAGCCAACGATTCTTGGGGCTCTCTTCACCCAGTCTTTTCAGATAGCCGCCACAGGCTTTTCCCCCAAGGTTGCCATGACAAGAGACTCGGACGTTGTACTCAAACAAGATTCAAACACTACCACAAACTCAAAGCGAATCGACTCCCTCAGATACTGGATACAGTGAACCCCAAAACAAACTGAACCCACCACACCGCGCCTGGCAACTCAACCAGCGGACACAATGGTGGCCTCAGATTACGGCCAACCGGCCGCCGACTTTGCGGCAGGACCTGCCTTACGGCAAGGTGGGAGCGCATCCCATGCTGCAGAGGTGTCGGAACTCAGAGCAGGGAGGGAGGGAAGATATGTGCATATGATTGCGTCTGTACATATATATATATATTATATTATATATATACACATACATACACACTTGTATCAGTATTCTGAATATGTATATGTATGTGAATGAGTAAGCACCCATGTACATTTTTTTTAATGAATCTGTATATGAATATGTATAAATACATGCATATGAATGTGACTATGTAATTGTTTACGTGCGTAGAGCATACGCACTATGTACATATCACAATGGTTGCAGTACAGAGCTATCATACGGGTACCCACAGACACACGAAAACATGGAATGTGTACTGTGTCCAACTCTATTTCTCTCCCATGCTCCCAGTAGATCAGTAGGCACCCGGCCGTGTCTGTGCAGTTGTGGGGGCACGCGAGGTTGAGCCAAGAAGTGACGTTCGAGCACCCCCCCAGGTGATTTTGAACACAATCCAAAATGCTCACTTTAAGGGGCCCTGAAAGGACACAGAGGAACTAGAAGTGAATACAGCCATATCAGCCCTTCCTGTGGCGGTCCAGTGTAGGGCATCTTCTTCTGACTCCTGAGGGCGTCTCTTTCCAGCCACTCACTAGCCGGCCCATTTTTCTCAGGCTGGCGCGGATGACGCCCTACTACAAGCGCAACGAGGTGCAATGCGCTTGTACAGCAGAGAGGGCGGTTTGGAGCGAGGCAAATGCTTCTGGCATCCAGGGTTCGCAGAGCTTTTGGGTAAACAGTTTGGGGAACAGGCTTGGCAGGACACGGGCAAGCCATGGTCGTAGTCGTATTCCGGGATCCGTTCATTCGCATTCGGCTCACATGTTGAGCCGGAGCTCTGAGATGAAAGTGGCAATCTCAAGATGTGCATGCTCCAAAGTAGGTGGTTGCCCAGGATGAAGATAAGATACAAATTACATGTTTCAGCAAGTCACAAGCAAGGCAAACAAGAGAGAGAGAGAGAGAGAGAAATAAACAAATGTATATATGTACGTTTATTCATAAAGGGGCCTAACTTCAACCCTTGTTTGGGCTGCACGCCGCACACTGCTCCGTCCTCTTGGTTCTCGATTGTTTTGGCTGACTGGCCTTGCCCTCCTTGAGCCTTCCACTTTGGAAGGTAACTGGCTGTGCCAAAACGAGTTGACTCGACAAGTGGCAACGGAGACTCATGATCCTCACCCCTTTGAATGGATTTGGAGGGGGGGGGGGGAAGAAGGCGCCGATTGGAGTTTCATGTGTAATTCCATTTTCGCTTTTGGAGGGATCCCGCCGCCCCTTCCGCTGAGCCATTGCCCTTCTTGCGCGAGGCAAGGATTTGCACCTTCTACGTGAAGGGCGCGTGCAACCGAGGTGGGGTCGCGGCGTGCGCCGGCGAGCCAAACAACACGAGCAGAAGTGAGTCTTGCACATGGCCACATACATGTATCACATACCTATATCACACACCTACCCACCTACCTACCTACCCACCTAGCCTACCTACCTACATACCTATATATATATATATACACATGCATACACGCATACACGCATACATGCATACATGCATACATGCATACATGCATACATGCATACATGCATACATGCATACATGCATACATACATGCATACATACATACATACATACATACATACATACATACATCCATGCTTACATACATGCTTACATACATGCTTACATACATGCTTGCATAACAGACACATATCACACATTACACTACACTGCATTGGAATAGATTGCATTGCATTGCATTCGATTCAATTGCATTGTGTTTCTTCACCTTGCATTACATTATGTGAAATGGCATTGCATTACATTGTATTACATTGCATTACATTGCATTACATTGCATTACATTGCATTACATTGCATTACATTGCATTACATTGCATTACATTGCATTACATTGCATTGCATTGCATTACATTGCATTGCAATACATTGCAATACATTGCATTACATACATTATATTGCATAGCATTGCAATGCATTGCATTGCGTGACATTACTTTACACTGGACTACATTACGCACAATCACATCACATCCATCACCGCACATCACATCACATCACATCACATCACCTTACCTTTCCTCACCTCACCTCACCTCACATCACATCACATCACATCACATCACATCACATCACATACCATTTATTGATTCATTCATCCATCCATCCATCCATCCATTCATTCATTCATTCATTCATTTCTTTCTTTATTTCTTTCTTTCTTTCATTCATGCATGCATGCATGCATGCATTCATTCATTCATTCATTCATTCATTCATTCATTCATTCATGCATGCATGCATGCATGCATGCATGCATGCATGCATGCATTATATTCATGCATTCATACATTCATAAATTCATGCATGCATGCATGCATATATTCATGCATTCATACATTCATAAATTCATGCATGCATGCATGCATGCATATATTCATGCATTCATACATTCATAACTTCATGCATTCATACAGTCATACTTTATCATGTCATATCATATCATATCATTGCATTCCATTCCATTCCATTTCCATGTCCATTTCCATTTCCATTCCATTTCCATTCCATTTCCATTCCATTCCATTTCATTCCATTCCATTTCATTCCATTCCATTCCATTCCATTCCTTTCCATTCCTTTCCATTCCATTCCTTTCATTTGATTTCATTCATCATTCATTCACTCATTCACTCATTCACTCATTCACTCATTCACTCATTCACTCATTCACTCATTCACTCATTCACTCATTCACTCATTCACTCATTCATTCATTCATTCATTCATTCATTCATTCATTCATTCATTCATTCATTCATTCATTCATTCATTCATTCATGCATGCATGCATGCATGCATGCATGCATGCATGCATTATATTCATGCATTCATACATTCATAAATTCATGCATGCATGCATGCATATATTCATGCATTCATACATTCATAAATTCATGCATGCATGCATGCATATATTCATGCATTCATACATTCATAACTTCATGCATTCATACAGTCATACTTTCATATCATGTCATATCATATCATATCATTGCATTCCATTCCATTCCATTTCCATGTCCATTTCCATTTCCATTCCATTTCCATTCCATTTCCATTCCATTCCATTTCATTCCATTCCATTCCATTCCATTCCTTTCCTTTCCATTCCTTCCATTCCTTTCCATTCCATTCCTTTCATTTGATTTCATTCAATCATTCATTCACTCGTTCACTCATTCACTCATACATTCATACATTCATACATTCATACATTCATAAACATGCACGCCCTCAACGATCTACCAGTTTTAATGGTTCGCATCAGATCTGCCAGCAGATGCAGCTAATTTGTTGGTTCATATCGACTTTTCGTTTCCTACGCATTTATGAGTTGTGTCTAGCGTGTTCCTAACATGAGTAGCCGTGGCATGTTCCTGGCATACGCCCAGTATATTTCTAGCAGTATGGCTAGCATGTGTGTGGTATGTGGCTAGTAGTTTTGTGATACATGCCTAGCTTAGCATGATCTTCTTTCTAGATGATGATGATGATCGTTTATGTGGAACAGGTTGACAAAGACCTAGAACCACAGGTTCCCGCATCTGCTTCCCGACAAAATGCCGGGCAGTTGGGCATTTGGTGCTGCCCAACTACTCTCGCTGCATCGACTGGCTCGCCATCGCGCCATGGGAGGCGCTGGCGGCCCGCTTTGACGAAAAAGCAAACACATGATGCGTGTCACAAGTGTGAGCCGGACAAGCACCGGCCACTGCACAAGAACATGCTGCAATGCTTGCTGCACCTGCTGCGCAGTCAAAACTGTCACTCCACATCGGAGTTGCCACTGCGCCGTGCGAGGCGCTGGCACCACGATTTCTTCATGCAAGCAAAGACATGGAAGCGTGTCCGAGGTGATGGTCGGTAATGCGCCGGCCAGTTTCACAAGAACACGCTGCACTGCAAGTGTAACTGCAGCTGACAAAAAATGTCATGCCCAATCGGATCGCCATCGCGCAAGGCAAGGCGATGGCCCCACGATTCCTGTGATCAAGCACACAAAATCTCTCCCCATGCAAAAAGCTCGCCATTGCGCCATGCGAGGCGCTGGCGGCTCAAGTTCGCAAGCGAGCAAACAAAAGCCTGTGTGCAAATTGTCAGCGCTGCCAAAGAAGTGAATTCAAAAAGGCTTCTCGCCCCTTCTGCGAGCTAGCCATTGCGCCATGCGAGGCGCTGACCGCCCAAGTTTGTACTGCAAGCAAACAAAGATGCATGTCAGAGTGATGGCCGGACGCAGCTGGCCTGACCAATTTCACAATCACAAGAGGCTAAGCGTGTTGCGTGGACAAACTAAAAGGACACTCCTCAACTCGCAGCCTTTCCCGAGTGTGCCACACTTAGATGGTTCATCAGGTCCAGCTGTTCATCTTGCTGCTGTCAGCAAGTACACTCCCCCTGCAGCATCGCCAAAGTGTAATGCACGGCTTCACCGGTGTCACACACAAAGATGCTGCGCAGTTTGTTGCCATGCAACAAGTGCCCCCCTTTTTTTTTTTTTACGAAAACACTGTCCGAACTGGCCATCCGGAAATTTTCCACCCCCTCGGATGTCCCGCTGTGCCCTCAGGAGGGCAAAACTTTCAACCAGTAAGGCTGGCAAAAGCGCCCAGACATGCTACAAGCTACGGTCGGCCAACCATGCAAGTGTATGCCGCTCTGCCCGGATGGCCTGTTGCTGCGCCACACTGGTACCCCGGTTGTTTATTTATTTAGGTAAAAGAAAACTACCCCAATCGGACTGATGGTCCAATAATTAATCACCCCATCGGATGGCTCTCCGTGCGCCAAGGAAGGCTTCAACGGCCCCATGCGCGCAATTTGGCCATGGCAGCATGACATGCACTCGTTCACGGTGGCTCGGCGCGATTTGGCGCAACAAAGCGGTCAAATGTCTCGGCCACGAACCTAGCCCATTGCAGGGCTTGGTCGCTCCACGCTCGCGCGCCTTGCTCGCGCGCTCTCCAAAGCCTAGTGGCATTGACTCCCGGCTGTAGGGCCGCAGTGGCCGCTTCATCTGCACGAGCGTTCAGTTCTCTGAGTTTCTCTCCCGACAAGCCTTGGGGCGGGTTCCATGTCGGATGCTTGCCATGCGACGGAACCCACACCAGCTGAACGGCTATGCCGCATTCTTGCATGCTACTCCAGCATTGCTTCACTCGAAGGTATTGCTCAAAGTGTTCACTGGGTGACGTCGCCCTTTCCAAGACTTGCATGGCAGATTTGCAGTCAACTGCAACATGCAAAGTACGAGGGTTGCCGCCGTAGTTGTTAACTGCTGCTGCCACGGTCACGAAAAGGCGGACCAGTGCTTCGAGCTCTGCTTCGAAAGACCTGTTGGATTCCCCCGGCGGATCACTTCCACCTCTGTCAGAGCCTTTTGCTCGCACAGCACCTGTCTCACCACCGCCTCCGTCCAGTCCCTTGGCGTGTTGTCTATCTGCCACATACGCTTAGACGATGCGCAGACTTCCGGCTCAACTCTGATGCCAAGCTGGCGGTCGCCTCTGGCCAGGCCCCATTGTGGCGCCTTGTCAAGAAGCTGCTGCAAGTAGGCGTCAGGCGTCTCGGTTCCCACTGCACTTTCACATGCGGAAGCGGCTCTTCCCACCTCAAGGGTTCCACGAAAACCCCGCCTCTGCCACTGAGACCCAGCAGTTGGTCCACTGCGTCCTTCTTGCTGAACTGCCCCTCCACCCGCACCAGGCCCACCACTGCCTGTTGCCAGCCTTTCTGCTCCCACTGCCAGCCCCAAGTATCCTGGATGCTTTGCCGCACACTCACTGGTAGCTGTTGCATCCACTCTTGCACGGCCTTACGCGGGCGCGCTTGGGCGCTGGTCCACATGCTTGGTGTTGCATAGTTCCTGTCAACTAGCACCCTCAAGACTTCCGTGTGGTGTTCCATCGGCCTAGTGGCCGCCAGGTTGCATCGCATGAGCTGCGGCACCTGGCATCCATCTGGTCCCATCCTCAAGGTTTTCACCTTCTGCAGCACTGTCTTCCCTTTGCACTCACCTGGCACTTGCGAAGTTCCACCTCCATCGCGCCAGAGCACCAGCGCCGCAACGCGCGGCACGCCTGCCAGCATGGCTGCGGCTGCGCTCGCTTCCTCCTCATCTGCGGCCTGCACTACCGCTCTGAACTCCTGCTTCGAGTCATGTAGCTGCAGCTTGTCCGCTAGCTCACTGTATGTCACCGTGTCGGCATCCCAGTCTTTACCCCGTATCTTCCACTCAGTCAAGTCTGGCCGCTTGCGCGCTACCTTGACCCACTCGCTTTCTGCCGGCTCTGGCAGTTGCTGCACAGGTGTCACACTGGCTGATGCAGCAGCTTTGCCTTTGCCTTTGCCTTGGCCTTTTCCTGCTGGCTCGGCCGTCAGGCCTTTGCCACCAGGCTGGTTCTGCGCTGTGTTTGTGACTTTCACAACTCTTTGGGTGCCCACACCCGCCGCGTTGTTTGCCACTTCCCCACTTCGCTTGTCCTTCTTCTGTTTCTTTGGCTTTGGAACACTAGTGACCAACTGTGTCCCAAGCATCTCTGCGGCTGACTGCAGCACTGGCTCAAGGTGCCCGAGACCTTGCGCGCCACCCAACACTTGTGTCAACAGCTGCATCAGTTGCAGCAGCAGCCCGAGAAGGGGTTCCACTTTCTCACACTTCTGCTCTTTCACTCGCCGCGTGCGGCGGCTCCCCGCCGGTCCGGGGTGACTTGCTTCACCTACTCTAACGCCTAGAAGGCCACCTGTCTTTTTGTATCTCGTGGGCTCGGTGTCACGCGTGCCGCTTGGCACAAACTCCTGTTCACACCCGTTCGCTACCGCAATCGAGCTTTGCGGTCCCGCTGCCACTTTGTGCTGGTAGCACTGGAAGAGGGTGTAGGGGTCGGCTCCCGGGTCCAGGACCCGGATGAAGCAGCCCCAGCAGCTGATCTTCTTTCTAGCACAAATTCTAGCCCTATGTTTGGTCAGGTACTAACGTTTATGTCAGACTGATGTAGGTCTGGCAGGTGTCTATCCTGCTTAGGATATGTTTGGCATATGTTTAGCCCGTGTCAGGTTCTTGTTCATTGTGTTTCTCCAACATGTCTGGCATGTGTTTATATCAGAGGGCTGGTAATAACATGTTTGGCATCAGGCTTTGACACAGATATGCCAATCATATTCTAGTCATACATGAGTCAGATAGTAGTCATATGTTAGTCACGTGCTTAGGCTTGGAGTCTTAAGTGTCACAGGGAAGCAGATGTCAGGGACGGTATTGAACCTCGGGAACCTCGGGAAGCCAGAACAAACAGAAACAACCCGAACATCCAGAAACCCTAGAAGCGTCAAAGGCTTGTGGCTGCACCTGCCTCCACGATCAACAAGCCAGACAAACCTGGAACCCAGAAAACGATCAAACAAATCAGCAGTGTCACGGGCTTGTGGCCATGCCAAAAAACAGAAACAAACAGAACACACTCGAGTTCTTTTCTGGTTCATCTGGTTTTGTTTTGGTTTGGCACTCCCTTTCACAGGTTTGACAACCCTCAAGGCTACAACAGTGAAACAACGGTTAGACAAAGGTGGATCTTTGGGGATGGGTGGGGGGTGGGGCATATGTATATATACATATATATATATACCAAAATATGTTTCTGTGTATATATATATATATGCATTGTGTGTTTTGTTCTGTCTCTCGCTCTGAAAGACATGTGTGTACATATATATATATGTATACAATCATGTATAGGTGTACCACATGCAGCCTATCGAGCTATCCCTTCCCCCTGCCCAAGTGCCGCCTGTACACAGCTGTTCATTGAGACCTGTTTGAAGGATGGCCAAGATGTCTGCTTGACCGAAGCAAGACTTGGAGAGAGTTGCAGGGAAAGCCAATGACTGCAGCACAAACTTGAGAACAGATGAAACTGAGACATGTATACACTGCACACTTGCAGTGGCCAAACACTTTCAGTGGTTCAGCAGGCTCCGCCGAAATCCTTGGGTAGCGCAAGCGACTGAATGGACTTCATCTTGGGCGTTTCTTCTCCTCGGACTCACCGTCCTCGGCCACTACAACAGCAATCTACCCTTCCTGGGCTGAACAATTGAATGTTGTGCATACGTTTGGGAATGCGTCACAATGAGCTTGGCACCCCTCCAGATGCTCCTTGAGCATGAACCTGCAACTGGTCCAACTGGTGCTGACATTCGGTTTCTGTTCGAGGCTTCTAGATCTGGAGGTTCCATGTTACAAGGAACGTCTGTTGGCTACTGCCAAGCACGCGCTCATGCCACGGCCTATCCCTGCAAACCTCCAATCTGATTGTTGGGCCGCAGTTCCACCTCAATATGTGTGCATTTGCCTCAACGTCCGCGTTAGTTTTTGGTCATTTTGAAAGCGGTCTGCTAAAGCGTGCGAAAGACCGGGTCAGGACAAGACTGCCCCTTCAAGCACGAGTTGCCCAAGGGCGGCGATTTGGCGAACCAGAAGCTGCTGGGGGGCTCGAGAGTCAGGTGTCAAGCGCTTTCTCCTCGATGTTCGTTCTGCGACGCTTGTTGCCGAGGTTTTATACCTGCGGAAACCCGATGTGAAGGCTAAGGGTTTACAGCCCCAAGCTTATTTGAGCCAGCAAGTACAGCGGGCATTGTAGCAGATCCAAAGCAAAGTGGATGAAAATCCGTGAGCCTGCGAGGGGTTGGATGCATTGTCAAGGTAAACAAACAGGAGTTGCCATGTTTGGAGTCCCAATTCCTGTTGTAGGAACCATCCAGGTGACAGCATTGCTTTCTTCATTAAAAACAAAAAAACAGACACAAAAACAACGGGAACTTATATATCAGGGAACCTCCTTTTGGAGGACTGGGGCCAATGTCAATCACCTAGACCTTCACCTACCTGGGTGACATGAGCGGGTTTGGACTTGGTCACCGGGTTTCTTGGCTCATTTGGGCTGGTTCATTTGCTGCAATGATTCTGGGGCTACAAGTGTCGGCTGGTGACCCAAGTGAACGACGCAGGTCATACGGGTCGCATGGATGCTTCGC